TTCCTGGAAGTGAATTAAATGGGAAGCCTACTACATTCTTACTTGTCTGTATAAACAGAAAAGTTCTAGTTAAGTGAAAAAAAAGTATAACTTGAATCATAAAAACAAAGTCACGGGTTCTCAATCAATTTTCAGAATCGAGCCTGTTAACATACCCAGAACTTCTTGAAATAAGGGGAGGCCAGGTTCCCTTATTAAAGAACCCCAATCAAGTATGGATAATGTATACTGTTAATCTTACCCAAAAGGACTTCCTCCTCAAAAGGACCCCTCCTCTTTTTCCAGGGTAACTGTACATTGAAGAAAAGAACTAATCCAAACTTTTGAGGGCTACTGAACACTGGCTCTGAACCATCACTGATTCTAGGAGACCCAAAACATCACTGTAGCCCTCCAGTCAGAGTAGGAGCTTATAGAGGTCAGGAGACCAATAGACTTTTAGTCCATTTCTGTCTCACAGAGGTCCCAGTGCATCCCTAAACTCATCTCATGGTTACTTTCCCAGTTCCAGAATGCATAATTGGAGTAGGCATTGTTAGCAGTTGGCAGAATCCCCACATGAGCTCCCTGACCTATGGAATGAGAAATATAAAGGTGAGAAAAGCTAAGGGGGAAACATTAGAATTGCCTCTACCTAGGAAACTAGTAAATTAAAAGGAATACTGCATTCTTAGACGGATTGCAAAGATTAGTGGCACCAACAGGGACTTGAAAAATGTAGAAGTAGTGATTCTCACCACATCCCAATTCAACTCTCTCATTTGGCCAGTGCAGAAGACAGATAGACCTTGAAAATGTCAGTGAATTATCAATAGCTTAAACAGGTGGTGACTCCAATTGAAGCTGGTTTACCAGGTTGTGGTTTCATTGCTTGGGCAAATTAACACATTCCCTGATATCTGGTATGCAGCTATTCATCTTGTGAATGCCTTCTCCACCATCCTTGTCCATAAGATCCACCAGATGTAATCTGCTTTCAGCTGGCAAGGCCAGCAATACACCTTCATTATCCTGCCTTAGGAGTATATCAACTCTCCAGCCCTATGTCATTTTTTCCCCACAAAGACCTTAATCACCTTCCTTCCACAAAATATTGCACTGATAGTGATGAGAAATAGTAACTTCTCTAGACTTATTGGTAAGGCATTTGCATGTCACAAGGTGAGAAATAAATACAGCTAAGCTTCAGGGGACTTCTACATTCATTACATTTCTATGAGTCCAGTGGTATGAAACATGTCAAGATATCCTTTCTAAGGTGAAGGGTAAGTGAAGGATCTGGACCTCTTCTAACCAAGAAATAAACCATGGGACTTCTTGACTTCCATAATTGCATGAGGGAATTCCCACAATGAATGAATGAATGAATGAATCCTATAGGTCTTTTTCCTCTGGAGAACCCTGAATACTATATTTGCTTTGCATAATGAAGGTCAACTTCAATGGGATGATGTCCTTCTGTCTCCATCTGTTTCTGTCTCTCTCTGTACCTCTCTCATCTGAATTCATATAGTACAAATACACCCTTCTCGCCATTTAATGATACTTGTCACATTATTTTTACCTTGTTTTATAGAGTATTATACCCACCTATATCTTTGTCATTGGTTTTAAGGCTACATAAAGCATAAAATATTATGTGTTATTTATCTTGGTATTTCAGCCTCTAGAAAAATGTCTTGTATATTTTGCTTCATCCTATGAATAAATAAATTATAAAATAAACAAGTATGAATTAAAGTAACAAGAGTAGAAAGCCTGATTTATGAAAAACTCCTATGTATCTTTCTTTTGGGATTATCTAGAATATGTCTTTAAAAACAAGTTTATATCCTTTCTGATATGAGTGCTTAATGAGGGAATGAAGGATGGTTGTGGAAATTGTGTGAAGAAATGAACATTGAGTTTTTCCATTTTCAAAAACTTTGAACATAGCTTGGGTAGTCATGGGTAAATTCATAAACATATTTGGAATATTCAGTAATATAATCAGCCAATTTAGTGATAACTTTTTTCTTTATAAAAGAGATTTTGTCCAAACAACAGACAATGTAGACCTTTTCCATCTCATTCACTTGTTTCAAGCTTGTTATGGTACATACTAAAATAAAAGTAAAAAAAAAAAAAGATAACTTTACACCTATATTTACTATAGCTTTTATTTGTATTCTTTCCCTTTAAAATCACTCTCTCAAAACGTCCCAGTTCCCACACATTAACTCTCTGATTTCTACAGATAATTCATAATCCTGGAGGTCTTTCCTTACACAGATAATCAGCCATGATATTAATTCTCTTCACATGTCTCTTAATATTAATTTCTGAAATTATTAATTCACAAGCTCCTGTCTGAATTGTTGCTATAACCTCCCAGCTATGATCCTTTACTCTAGTCGCTGACATTTTCATGACATCATTCAAGAGTTCTGGAAATCTGGAACTATGGAAACATGAGTACTCACTTTGACATTATCTCTCTTCATCCTCCTTGTCTGAAGAAAGCCAAGAACCAGAGTTAGTAAGCTGGCATACTCAGGCCCTGGATATATTGGCGGTGATGAATTTTCTAGAGATTTTGAGAAGAAAAAATACCCAAGGCCAAGTAAGATCTTACTAGATGATGGAGGTATTTCAAATCATATTATTCAATGAGTGATATAAAGACAACTGTCACCTTTTTGCTTAAAACTGGTAACTTCCCATTTCCCTCAGATTGAAATCCAAGTTCCTTGGTCCAAAATATTGTACGTGGATATGGTCCCTGGCAACCTCTCTGATCTCATTTCCTTCCATTCTCCTTCTTCCTTCCTCACTTCCCATAGTGAACACACTAGGCTACTACCTCCAGGCACATTTTGTCTCAAGGCATTAACACCTGTGGTTTTTACCCTAACTTTATTCAAGTATTACTGAAATGTCATCTGTTCTGAGAAAACTTCTCTATTCACCTAATAAGGTGGTATGTCCAAGACTCTACTTACCCTGCTTTACTTTTTTTCAAAGAATCATCATGGCCTGATGTATGTATAAAGTATGTTAGGAAAAAAAAAGTAAGAATTTGGGTCCACCCAGCATGGTGTAAACTGTAAGGGGTATGGGAACAAGGACTTTGTTCCTGCTTTTTTCCCCTTCCTAAAACAGTGTCATAATCATTTCCAGTCTTGCCTCTGATTTAGCACCAAGATATGAGAGATTTCCAATATCACTATGGAACAATATAAGGCCTGATTCTAGACTGGTGGCCCAAAGAATAGGGGCGACTCTCTACCCAACAGAATGTAAGTTGGAAGAGAAAGAGACTGACAGTTTTCTTCACTGCCTGGTCAAGGCTGAGCCTCCCTCTGACTCCAAGTAAGCAAGTGTGATATCAATAATATTACCATGGAACAATCCAAAACTTGATTCTAGTCTAGGAACACAGAAAATTAGGTGGTAAAAGCATAGTAGGTAAACACAGTACATTGATTTTTTTCTATCTTCCTTCCACTAAGACATACTTTCATACTTTGCTCACTGCTGTATACTTAACCTCTAAAACAGAAATATGCTGAATCCTTCCTAAGATTAACAAGCTTTGGGATATCCCCAAATCACTGTAAAATAATACATGGCCTAAGGGTGGTGGTGACGCTCTTCCTTCCCCCACTAGGATATATGCTCTAAAGCAGCATAGACTTTGTATAGATTTTTCACTGTTCTATGCTCAGGTCCTAGGCCAGGGCTGAGCCTCTATCATGAAACAGTATAATGTTTGGTTCAGGACTTGAGGCTTAGCAAGAAAGCAGGGACTAAGAAGCATTATTATTATATATCTAAAAAGTATATACATTTGTATTTTCTTTTTTTTTGTTGTTCTTTTTTTTTTCTTTTTTTATTTTTGGGACAGAGAGAGACAAAGCATGAACGGGGGAGGGGCAGAGAGAGAGGGAGACACAGAATCAGAAACAGGCTCCAGGCTCCAAGCCATCAGCCCAGAGCCCGACGCGGGGCTCGAACTCACGGACCGCGAGATCGTGACCTGGCTGAAGTCGAACGCTTAACCGACTGCGCCACCCAGGTGCCCCTATACATTTGTATTTTCACCTAACATGTGCATCCCTCTAACCTTTTAGTTATCACCAAAACATTTACACATTTATCACATTTTTAATTATTTTATACCTACCTTATATCTTTGTTATTGGACTGAAGGCTACTTAAAGAATAAAAAACCATCATGTGTTAAGAAAAGAAGGCTTTTGTTTTTGTCCACTGCTGTGTCCCAAAGTCTTAAAACAGTGCCTAGATTAACACCAGCCTTTCTCTGAGTGTCAGAATGTGGGGTAACCCCATAATATTATCATGGGAAAATGTAAAGCCTTGTTCTGGTCTTGAAGTCATGGGTGGTGGTGGATATCTGCCTCAGTTATAGCCAAGATACAGTCTTCATGAGAACTTAAATTTTGTCTTTCTTAGTCAATAGCTAGTGTTGTAGCTAGGGTCAAGCATTCCTGAGTGTCAAAAGCGTAAAAATACCTAGAGCAGTAACAAAGTATTCTATGGTTGGTGTTATTGCTTGTTTTGTTGTTGCAATCAATCTTCCAATTAGAAAAAAAACATTATTTCTACAATAAATATACAAAATAAATTCCACATGATTTAAAGTTTACCATTCATGTCAAAATTTAGAAAAGCACAAAAACCAATACTATTATCAATTATGACTGGTTATATTTGAGGTAAATATGTAAGACCGACAAGATTCACACCAAATTCATGTTAGTGTTTGCCTCAGCAGAGTGAGGAAATTTTCTGGGAAAGGGATATATTATATGTAATGTTCTGACTTTTTTTTTTTAAAGAATATAAATCTATATCTAAAGTAAGTATACTAAATTGTTAATATTTTAATTATTTAATATGGACATTGTTGATTTGGGGCAACAGTAAACAAATGTTATATTTTACATACTCTCCATATTATGTCTTAATTTTTCAAAATAAATAAAATACAAAGAGAATTTAAAACACCACTATAGCTGATTTATTATAATGTTTTCAAAATTGAACATATTTAGGAAATATGCATACGTATATGCAATATGCAAGGACATAAAGCATCTGAATAATACAATCAAGAAGGTTAATAATAAAGAAAACTCTAAATTTTGTTTTTTATAGAAACCATACATTCTTTTTTTAATAGAAAGTTTAAATAAGCCAATTACCATTGGAGAGATAAGAAGGCTGATTAAGGATCAACTTCAAAAGTGGCACCATAATTAAATTGTTTTACAGTTTAGTACTAGCTAACTTTCAAAGGACAATTAGAATTTGAATAAAAACTTTTTTAAATAAAAAGAAAAACTAATTCTAAGGCTGTTTATTTCAGAACACAAAAAAAGACTCACAAATTCATTTTTAAAGTTAGCACAATTTGAAAAACAAAACTTGAAAAGACAGGGTAAAAAAGAAAAAATGCAATTTCACTTTGAAATGTAAATGCAATAATTCTGAATAAAAAATTCGTAACTAAAATCCAGCAATGTGTCAAATGATTATTACAACATGACCAAGTAGGATTTATTTCAGAAACACAAGTTTGGTTCAACGTCAAATACTTACTCCTCTAATTCATTAAATCAACAAATTAAAGGAGAAAACAATCATGATTTTATCAGTGGATGCTGAAAGATATTTGATAAACTTCAGGGGCCACTTTTTAGTAAGCCCCTTAATATGAAACAGGAATTAAAAAATGAAATAAAGAAACTCCTTAAACATTTTAGTGGTTAATGACAATTTACCAATAACCAACAATAAATGTCATGTTAATAGGGAATAGTAAAGACAATTCTATGAAAATTACACAAGACATGCATATCTGTCATAATCATTATTCAATATTATTTTGAATAAATAAAATCATCTGTATTTGCAGGTGAAATGATTGTTACACAGAAGGTTGAAAATATTACATATTTTTAAAAGTGTAATTTAGAGGATTTAATAAGCTGATTAAATATAAGGTAAAATATTTTTTAAAAAAGTTATCTGTAGTTTGTATTGTCAAAAATAAGAAGTTACAAATGAGGAAGAAAAAATACCCAAGTCAAAATGTCAAGATGTGACAAAATCTGTAAAAATACTTGGAAGTAAGTTTAATCAGATAAAATAGACCCATATGAAGAACATTACAAATACAAAATCAAAAGATTTTAATTATGTACCCAAACTCTTGAGTGTTAAGGATTAATATTATTAAAATAATCTTCTAAATAGAAATGCAGAAATGTAACACAATTCTAAGATCAGAATTTTGAAAGAATGCATTTAATTTTCATAGAAAGAATTAATGTCTAGAACAAGTTATATGAAAGAAAAAAAAAGGGAAAGAAAAAAAAAACATAATGAGAGGTAACTTGCTTTGCCAGAGTTCAAAATTTATGGTCAAGCCACTAGTGTTAAACAATAGGATACTGGCTCACAAACTCAAAAATGAGTAGTTTATTTAATAAATATCATAGTATAATCAGGAATCCAATGTGAAGAAAATGTATAGTTGGACCTTTATCTTATACCACATACAAAATAAATTCCAGATGCTTTAGTTAAACCTAAAATTAATAAAATTAATAAAAAAATTAGAAAAAATGTAGGTGAATATATGTATGATTTGGGGTGGGGGCATTCATCTGAAAAAGATAAGAAGCCAAAAAGCTGAAAAGGAGATATTAGTCTATCTAAAAATTAAAAACAACAACGGCAACAACTGTACAGTAAAATATAACATCAATAAAGTCAAGATCAATGATAGAATGGAAAAAAATACAAATGGGCTACATGATTAATATGTACCATAGAGAAATATAGTAAGAATTCCTATAAACTTATAAGAAAAAGATCAAAGATTCAATAGATAAATAAACAAAAGATAAGAACTGGAAAATCACAAAAGAAAAAAATTCAAACAGTCAACAAAACAAAACAAAACACCTCCTCGAGTATGTCTATTAAAAAAATACTACGTAATTTTTTACCTTTTACATTTGCAGATTTTGATGGAGAGGATACTGGAGAATGAGCACTTTCATTTTGTATAGTAATTTTGTAATATCTCTTAAAATTAAATATATCTCTTACCAGCAATTCCATTTCTGGGAATCTACCCAGTAGAAATAAAAGCACCAGAATCTATGGCAGCAGTGCTATGGTGAGAAAAGGAAAGGAAATAATTTAAGTGACTATCAATAACAGAATGGTTGAATATTTTTTTGGTACATAAATATACTGTATATGCAACTGCTAGAGGGAAGGAGAGAGAGAGAAAAAGGCAGAGGGGAACAGGGAGTGGAGAGGAGGGGAAAGGGAGAGGGGGACAGAGAAAGATTCCTAGCTACTGATTAGAAAAGATACGATGAATATTCCAAATGTGAAAAACAATTACAGGGAAATGAGGAGGCTTTTCATTTTTACAGAAAAGACTACAACAAACTTTCTGCAAGTGGATGGGAAAACGTGGAAGGATATACATCATGTTCTTAACATTTGTTACCTGGGAATAAGAAAGAGGGGAGATAATAAAATGAGGGAAATGGGGGAAAGGACCTGGTGTGGAGTTACACCATTAATTTTTCTTTAGTTTTTCATTGTTCCAATGGTCATGAATACTTTTCAATTTCCTATTAGCACCCAACTTAGCTCTTCAGTTACAGAACAAGGCAATATCAAAAGTACCAATGTAAACTTGGGACAAAACTGTGGAACTAGTCAATGTAAGATTTGGAGGCACAATCAGTAACAAGTAATAAATTCCTGAATCTCTGACACCAAAACTTTTCTCAAAAATTCACAATTGCAAGAACATGACATGTTTTACATTTAATAGTTCTACGACTTTTGTAAAGAGCACAATGTATTTAGGGAGTTTTCACCAAGCCATAGACATAAATGTGAATATCATCATCAAACTTGATGAAGTAGACAGACGGTTTGGCCACCACTTGATGGATAAAAATGCCGGTTCTCTTGGACCCATCATCTTTGGCATGTTCCACTTGCTTGCCCACGAGGCTGTCGACCACTTCTCCAGGCTCCCGTTCTGCTGTAGGGAAATAGTAGTTGGAATCTGGAATGATGCGCAGGTCACCATCTTTGTAGTCATCCAGCAGCGTGTACATATAAAGGACAGGATCTTTCTCGTAGGTGATGTAAAACCAAGTGTCCATCACGGGAGCTCGCGCCAGGACCATGCCTTTCCATTCATCTTTCGTACCGTGCTCACCCTCAAACACATGCCCCACCGCTTTGCCAATCAGGAAATCTGCCAGACGAGAATCAATGCGAGGAGTTGGCACTCTTTCAGGAAGGATTTCTAGCGCTAAAACTCTCTTATCTCGGTGCAGCTCTAGTCCATATACACTATCTTTGCCATCATATTTGATGATGTAGAGGGTGGGCTTCACAGAAACCTGCTCGAGCACTGTGCCCTTCCACTGCTCCACCGGCTCGTTGCCTTCCTTCCAACCGTGTTGAATGCGACAGCCTACGATGTTCCTACGCGTGAGGAAAGTGGGCTTGCGTCGCTGCTTCCTGTGGGTGTGCCTTTTCTTCATCAGGTATGCGGACACGCCATCTACACCCATCGGAGGCACTGTTGGGGGCGACATGGCTCAGGGTTTAAGGAGGCTTAAGCAAAGCTGCCACTTGTTCGATTAAGAGGACCAAAAGTCAACACTATTCAATATTATATCTGTTTTCGTGATCTCACAGTGCGTCCTCCCTTCCCCAATCAAAAGGCTTTCGCCAAGTCTTGACAAAAACGCTCTAACTCTGACGGTGGACACTGATACAGCGTGAGCCTTTTGACAGTGTTCTCCTTTCCCGCTCGGGAGAAGTGTCTGCAGCAGTGGCGGTTGCTGCAGGAGATGGCGGGCTGGCTTGTACTGCCCACGCCTCGCACCCGCCCTGATTCCCAACCCCAAGTCCCAGAATTGACCACTTAGCTGTTATCGATGGTGTTGCCGCTGCGAAACGGTGACTGAGGAGACGACGGGAAAGGTAGGCAAGGAATAAGAGAGTTGACTGCAGCAGCAAAGGCGAAGGCAGCCGTGGGTCTTTGACAAGTCCCTGCGGCCTCTGCTTCGCAGCGCTGCTTTGCTTGGCCTAGCTCTGGCGCTGGGGTTTTTGCTGCTTCAGGAATCCGACCCCTCTGAGCCCGCCTGCGCTTCGGCCCCGCCCCCTGCCATTCCTCCTTCCGCTCGGTCTGTAGCAGCAGGGTGGGTCAGTGCGCGCACCCGCGTTCAGTCCACACAGTCTCAGGCTCTCCTTCATTTCCTCACGCGCTCCCGGACCTCTTCCCTCAAACCGGAGCCAGACTGGCCGGCTCCCTTGCTCCTTCTTTCTGGCTGCTTTTCGCCTGTCAGCCTTCTTCACAGCCATTCAATCTGCTCCCTATCTTACAGGAATTCCTCACAAAGCCTTTAAAAAATAATATTTAATACACACATACACAGAATTTATACATACAAATTATTTTCTTTCAGTTTAAGGAATATGAGAGCAGTGAAGGAAAAACTTGTGTACAGTCCACCATCTTGATCCAAACTTTCCTTTATATTTTCTACCTGATCACCCCCAGTAAATTACTTTTTAAATGATCTTTTTTTTTCTTTCCTGAATGTAAAAGAAATGTATTGACATTGTGGAGAATTTCTGAAATTCAGTGAAATAAAAGATAAAACTAACTTTAATCTTACCATCTAGCCATTCAGCAAAATGTTAGTTCTGATTTCTTTCTCATTAAGTCCATGCTTATGTTTTACAAGATTTGGAGATTTCATACCTTTACAGCTTACTTTTTTCCATTTACATCAAGAGCATTTTCCAAGCTTATTAAATAGTCTGAAAATGTGATTTAAATTGTCCCATTTTTTTTGTGCGGATGATTCATTATTTATGCTAAATGACCTATGACAAAATAGATAATAAAGCTAGTTTACCTTAATATATGGATTTATTGAGCTAGTATAAACCATATTTTCTAAGAATATTTAATGACATGGAAATCCACATATGAGATAAGAACAATGTGTGAAAAAGCAGGCTATGAGGTAAAATTGTGGAGAAAATAATTTTGTTGAGAGGGAAATGAAAGCATTGTTGTATGTATTTGCTGTTTTTTCTGATTATAGAACTGCATCCTCATATGGGAAATCTGGAATATAGAAAAGAAAGTGTCCATAATTTCATCTTCGTCAAGTCACAGGGCTTTTATGAGGATTAAAAGTGAATGTCTGTAAAACTTTTAGCCCTGTATCCTGTTTTACAAAACGGCAATTGAAAACAGGGAAATCTAGCTCCCTCATTATCATTCATCACCTTACATGGGTGAGAAGAGAATACATCAAATCATCACAGGTAAAATAAAGGCTACTAATTTATTTGGAAATGTAGGAAAGCAGGGGAGATAGATGCAAGACAATACTGGCTGCCTCCACATTTCATACCTTCCAAGGTAGGGACAGAAATACCTAGCCCTCATACCATTTAGTAGCTCATTGGGCAGAATATCGTGGATCCCCAAATTCCCGGTGTTTCCCAGGCCAAAGATTTTGGAGATGGGATAACTCTCCAATACTACATTATAAGAAAGTAATTCCAAGGAAACAAGAAAACTACATATACTAAAAGGTACTTCTAAACTCTGTAGAATGACATAATGGTGTGTACATATTCAGACATATATACAACCTACACACTGAAAGAAAGAAGGCATGTTTAATTGTCATGCCATTATGTTCCACAAATAATGTGCCCCAGGTAATTCTCCACACCAAGATGTGATAAGATCTTTTTTGCTTAAAAGATCAGTTCACAGGGAAGAGAAGACCACCCACAGGGCAAACAAGTGGAGGGCAAACAGTTCATTCAGGCCCTTTGGGTATATACTTAAATGGAATTATCCTTCACAACACCACAGAGAAGCCTGAGAAGACAATTTCTAATATCCTTTCTTCTCTAAAACTATGATTCTAGTGTTAAATTATTGCCTAAGATTCTGGTATTCAGTGGACCTTACCACACTATGATATATAACTACAAAACCATTCAAGAAAGAACTTTTATCTTGCATCTCAAGTGTCTTACACATACTAGGTACTCAATATTTGTTAATAAATAAATAAGTGGTTTTAGCTGCCTTACTCCAATCCAAAGAAATCTTCCCAAATGAAACAAATACTCTTACACAAGCCTCTACAGACTAAAATCCTAGAGACTCAAAATCTCTCACAGTGGCTTTGTGTATCCCTTCAAAACCCCCAGAACACTGACCCTGTGAATGTGTCCAGAACTCTGGAGATGATTAGGAAAACACCATCAACCTACAATATGTAGGTAATAATAACATCCACTTAAAAGGGTAGCTGTAAAGATTGAATAAAATAAATAAAATTAAATTTATTAACACATGAACCAACTTATGTAAGTACTTGTGGTCTCCTAATTAGTCATCTCCTAGAAAGTCTTGTTTCTTACCAGGTTTTTCTGTAAAACCACCTCGCTCATGCCCCACCTCTAAACCTTTGCTTTATTTTATACTCAAGCCCTTTTGCTCAGGACCTGAGTGTAAATCAAAAAGGGACTGTGGAAGGATTTTGTCGTTTATAGCCACTTTCAGAGCAATCTTTTAAATGCTGTAATTTTCTGTAAGCCCAAATGCTGTATAAATGAAACATTATTGAAAATAAATTTTGGAGATACAGTGATAATTTATAATTATATGGGTGGTGGAGATAGACATAAATGCTACTAATTCCCTTGTATAAGATGGATTATAATGCATACTATGACAGGTACTAATTAAGCACCAGGGACCCAAAGGAGGTAATGAATTGTTATGGCTGGGGATATTGGAAAAGATAACTTGTAAGGGTAAGAAAACAAAAGGAAGACATTCAGAAAGTGGTAGAATATTGAGGCATTTTCAATCTAAACAGAAAATAGATGAAGGAAAGGCACATAGGGATGCATGGTCATAGAATATGTGCAAAACTGGCCAGAATCTGGTGGCTGGAGCACAGAGTATGCCAGACTAAGAAACAGGGGATGTGGTTTGTGGTGGGAAACAAGGTTAGTTAACAGCTTCAAATGCAAGACATTTATCTTCCATCCACTGCAGGAAATTGATCTTCTATCCACTGATGTATGGAAGCAGATTATATTCCAATTCCTCTGATAACGTACTGTTGACAAAACTAACTAGAGAGATGATTTTCCATGACCTATCTGGCAAAAGCAGGCAATGATTCCCTAAGAAGGCAGTTTTCCCAGTCAGAGTAGTTAATATAAGTGATGCTGAGCACAGAACTGATCTTCTATTCCCACTCAGCAGAAGCAAGTGATGTGGCATTCTGATTTCCTTGTCAGTGTAGTGTCAGTGAGATTTAATGATATGTTATTCTTCCTTAGTCATCTGGTGGTATAAGGTATAGTGTTAGTGACCTCTATTCTATAGCTTCTTCTCACCCTGCCCCCATATCAACACAACCATAATGGGACTATGAATAATACAGGACAAGGCAGGGCTAGTCACCCCTCCAGTTCCCTACACTCTTTGTTTAAGTGAAAGCCAATGAGGAGCTGAAATTGCATCCTTATCCACCATCAATCAGATTGAATGAAGAGAACAAGATGGAACTAGATAGTACTCATCTTTTCCTACACCTTGGTGTTAGTGAGGTCCACTGGTCATATAGCATCCACATCCACATGGAGGTAGTGAGATGGTATGAGTCAGTACCCAACTTCACCATGAATGTATTGGCAGATATGACAAGGAGCTAAACTTCAATCCATCTAACACATGTGCAATGAGGCAGTGTGAGTCAGTACTCCACTTTTGCAAAGGGGGTGTCAGGAGATCCCAACAGAAGTTGACATGTATACCCATGGGACCGTCCAGCTACATCACAAAAGGAAGACTCTGTGATAAAAAACAAAGTTTAGATAGAGTATAGAGCCTATTATAATATCAAAAATGATAAGAATGCAATGAAAATAACAAATCATGCAAATATCAAGGGAAATCACAACTTGAATGACAGAAGACAATTAATAGAGGTCAAAACTGAGATAAAGCAAACATTGAAATATTCTGAAACAGATTTTTAGTTTTCTTAAGTTTATTTGTTTTGACAGAGTGAGAGAGAGATTGTGAGCAGAGCAGAGAGAGAGGAAGAGAGAATAAATCCCAAGCAGGCTTTGCACCATCAACACAGAGCCCGACTCAGGGCTTTAACTCACGAACCATGAGATCATGACCTGAGCTGAAATCAAGAGTCAGGGGCTTAACCAACCCAGCCACCCAGGTGCCCTGAAACAGATTTTAAAGCAGCTATTATAAAAATACTTTAATAAGCAATTATAATGTATCTTGAAACAAATGGCAAAAAGAGAAAACCTCAGCAAATAAATGGAAAGTATAAAAAAAAGAACCAAACAGAAATTTTAGAATAGATAATAAAATAATCAACATAAAAATCTCCATGGATTGGATCAATTTTTTAAAAAATGTTTTCAGTACAGTTAATAAACACTGTTATATCAGTTTCAGGTGTACAATATAGTGATTCAACGATTCCACACATCACAAAACAGTCATCGCAGGTGCACTCCTTAATCCCCATCAACTATTTCATGCATCCCCTGCCCACATCCCCTATGGTAACCATCAATTTGTTCTCCATAATTAAGAGTCTGTTTCTTGGCTTCTCTTTCTCTCTTTCACCATCTCTCTCTCTCTCTCTCTCTCTCTCTCTCTCTCCCGCCATCTCTCTCTCTCTGTCCTTTGATCATTTGTTTTGTTTCATGAATTCCACATATGAGTGAAATCATATGGTATTTCTTTCTCTGACTGAATTATTTCCCTTAGCATTATACTGTAGCTCCATCTACATCACTGTAAACAGCAAGGTTTCTTGTATATAGCTATATAATATTCCATTCTATATAAATACCACATCTTATTTATCCATTTATCTATCAATGGACATTTGGGTGCTTCCATAATTAGGATATTGTAAATAATGCTTCTGTAAATATAGGGATGCATATGTTTCCTTGAATTAGTGTTTTTGTAATTTTGAGGTAAATGCCCATTAGTGATATTACTGGATTATAGGGTATTTTATTTTAACATTTGAGGAACCTCCACTTTTGTCACAGTGGCTACACCAGTTTGTATTCCCACCCACAGTACAAACAGGTTCCTTTGTCTCAATTGTCCACTTATTGTTTCTTATGTATAATTTTGGTCCTGCAGACAGTGTGAGGTGGTATCTAACTTACTTT